ATTCATTGGAGAGGAAGGGATTACAAGAGAGTAAGCAGGCACACAATGGGGAATATACATCTAAAGCAATGCAGCGGTGCCGGCAGCCCTAAGCATGCTATGCAAACAACCTGGCGTATTCCCCACTGTGTGCCTGCGAGGGGGGAGAAATGGGTCAGGCACAGGAAAGATTGCCTACAGAAATTGCTTGTGGTTTTTTCTCCCTCCCTATAAGCAGGTACATAATGGGGAATATGCCGGGCTGTTTGCATAGCATGCTTGGAGCTGTCAGAGCCACTGCATTGCTTTCGATGTGTACTCCCCATTGTGTGCCTGCTTATACTCTTGTAATCTCTTCCTCTCCAATCTCTCCGCTCTGCAGTGGAGTTGGGGGGAGAAAGACAACAGGTCAGGCACAGGACAACAGGTATTGACTGTAATGGTGATCATGTGACTGAGGGATACTGTGAAGGTCGTAAATGCAGGCATTGGTCATAAAGTTATTTTTTCAGCATCGTCATAACTTTGAACAGTCGCTGAACAAGGCAACTGGTAAGCGAGGCCTACCTGTAATGCTTAGAGGAAAAGCTGGACAATTACCCTGCAATACTATGCAATTTCACTGAGAAATACAGACTGCTTGCCCACAAGTGGATTAAAATCCGAATAGGTATTTTTTGCAGTTTAAATGGGGTAGAACTCCCCATAGTTTGGGAACTGACATGACTTAAGATTCTTACCCCACACCCACCCCCACCTCTCCTAGGTAGCTATATTCATTTAGGGCCACTATGTGAGAGTCTAATATTTTTGTTTTTCTTCTGCATTACAGGTTCAAGAAAGTTTCTAGGACTATGAAGGACACTGTAACTTTGCTAAAATGTTTAATACTGCCTCTTGCTTCTTCAAGCAGAAACTGACTTTAAAAAGCGATAAATTTGAAAATGTACAGTTCTTCACTGATCAATGACTTTCCTTGGTAAACATAATGGCATATTGGAACAGAGATTTGGAGTTTACTGCATGCTACAGCTCAGTGAGACTCAGACAATGACAGAATGGAGGCCTGGGGGAAAATATAAGGCCTAGCAAGAGTGATTCCATCATAGGCTGAGAAACAAACCTACTGCTTTTGGATGGAAATTTGACTCAAGCAGCCTGAACCTGAAGCAGGTATATAACAGAGAAGGACATTACAAGGCCTCGGGGACAATCGTTTAGCAAGCACTGAGACTTTCTTAAAATATGAGGTTGAGATCAAACTTTCAGTCTTGACTTCTCAATCAACTGAATACAAGCAAGCAAGGAGAACCTTCACCAGTTCTGCATGCCAAATCAGCCTAAGACATGATTGTCATTATTCTGGAGAAACACCTGCTTGAAATTTAAATGTAGTATTTTAAAATTATTTATTTATTTACTTATTTGTATAATTGACAAGTACTATTTATTTTTAAATCATAACACTCTGTTTTTAAAAAGAGTATTTCTATTTTGGTAAAAATGTATTTATTCCTCAAATGTTATTTGTACTTGCACTAATACTATCACTCCAAACATTGCTTTGCTGTTAAATTTTTCTGTAGACATAAGTGGAAGTGTATGCATGAAATGGAATCCTGATTTGAATTTTGTCAGAACTGAGCAAATTCCATAATACTTGGATTTTCAGGCATAGAGGCGGCCCCAACCAAAGCTGCAAAGAATCATTGGAATATCTTGGATATTCTTGGAATATATTATAATTTTTATTTTTATTTATTATTATTATTATTGTATGTATTTGGTTTTATTGTATTTTTATACTATTTTTATTCTACTTTAACTAATATTTATTTGTTGTTTTTATTGTAAACTGCCCAGAGTCACTTCCTTGTGAGTCGGACGGTGTCTAAATTTGAAATATAAATAAATAAATACAAATTTCCCAGATGATGACAAAATATGTTCCTCAGTTTTCCCTGCCTAGAGTTAACATACTAATTTCCCCTCCTTGCTTTAAATTGAATTTTTAAAAATGTTTCTCCAGACTTAAAATCCAATGAAGCTCCCCCTGCAATCTTAGCAAAGCCTTGGACCTGGGAAAAATGACATTATTAAGGATTTCTTTGACTGCTGAACATTATAGTGGCCTGGTCATTGTTGAGCTTCTGGAGGTGGCTCCCTTATTTTTAACAGCCTTTTATTCTTTGTTCTGTTTTGATTTTTATATTTTTAATGTATTTATTGACTGTTTTTAGCTTTGTTGTACGCCACCCAGAGTCATCTGTGGTGAGATGGGCAGCTATATAAATTGGTTTAATAAATAAATAAATGGATCGATAGATAATCCTATCACCACTGAAACAATTCCTTGTTGTTATTATCTGACATTGTTCTGTGATGGTCATTTATTGTATAGTATTTGCTTTATTTTTGTTGTCTTTATCAGTTTTATGATTTTATCAACCATAACATGTTTTAACAGGGTTTCCACTATTGTTTTATTGAAACTTATTAAAGTTCAATCACCCATGGGCCAATTATCAGCTGTGCTGGAAGGTTTGGGCTGGGAGCCGGCTCTGCTGGGAGGTTTGGCTATTGAAAGGATGGCCCGGAAGACGGGACGCCTATGGGCTGGCAGTGACGCTGGCGCTTGGGAGCCTGGAGACCAGAGAAAGGGCTGGAGGACGGACTGTGCCAGCACGATGTTGTGTTGGCCGCTTCTGGACCAGGTTGCCCCTGTTGTGCTTGTGGGCCTGGTGCTGGTCGGAGGAGTGGGCCAGAGGACGGGACTTGTTTCCAGCTCCGGTCGCGCTTGCTGTGTTTCCATTCCTCTGACTCCTGGCGTTTTTACCTCCATAGATTCTACAGCAGCTGGAATCTTCCACCTGCAGAGGCCAAACAGGACAATAGTACAAAGGTGGTTTGCCATTAGCTTCTTCTAAAGTGTTTTTTCAACTTTCCAGTCTAGGCTATGGTCCTGGTATTTTATGGCGGGAAGTGGTTTTTTTATGGGAAGTTGTATTGAAGTCTTGTAAATAGGTGCTACAGTATACCTTTAAAAAATGTTATGCCTCACTGGCCACTAGAGGGCAAAATGAGACCAAGGCTGCTTTTATGAAATTTTTACTGATGCTGTGAAATTAATCAGACTTGTAACATAGTGATTGTACAGAGTTTATTAGTTGAAAAGGTAAGTAGGATCTTCCAAAAAATGTGGTGTGTAATGTGCCTAATCAGAGTTCCACCCAACCAATCAGCTACACTCCTTTTCCAGGATTTTAATCCATTCCCTTCCCCATTTTCAGTATTTTCCTCCAGCTCAACTTCAGAAAGCTTAGTTCTCATGTTTCTCATTGGGTTGGGTTTTATTTTTTTAAAGAAGATTGACCCGTTAGGCTATTAGGCATTTCTTTTCCTGAAGGCCTTTTTTTAGGGGAAAAAAAACCTTTTGCAAACTGAGGTTTCACTCCATATGGTGATATGTGGCCTCCTTTTGAAGACATATTGGTGAAAAGACTTTGTATTGCCTCATTTAATGACCACAATTGGGACCAGCAACTTGGTAAGTGAAGCAGTTGCTAAGTGAAACCACAACTGTGCTTATGATACTACTTCAGCTTTCCTTTGCTTTATAGAGCTGTAATGGTTATAAATACAAGGATTAGTCGTAAAGTTACTTTTTCATCACTGTCGTAGCTATGAACAGTCACTAAACAAAGCGGTCACTAAATGAGGACTACCTGTATTATTTATTAAGCATTTGCAAGGTTTTCCCAGATGTATCTAAACAGCCTATCTTGCCAGTTCTTTAAACAATCCCCAAGAGGAGCCAACTGATTAGCTTCAAGGAAAGTGGATACCAGCAGTTTGCAGAGGAAATGGGTTTCTTCAGACTTATTAGATAATGTTAGTTCTTCTCCATCCCACCATACACCTCTTCTGCAGAAATTCAGCACTGCATTTGAGTCTAGTGTTTCTAATTTATTACTTCCTCTCATATGGTTAGCAGTTTCTGATAGCTCCAAGATGTATTTTAATGTATTTTAATTAAAGTGCTATAAACCTACTTTTGGAGCCCAGCTTGGTAGCAGCACTTTGTCAACCTTGCCTGATTTCAAAAAAATGAAGCTGAGTGGACCTGGATAGAATTTGGATGGAAATATCCAAAATTCTAATATCCAGAAATATCAGGGCTGTAGGCCAGACCGGGAACTTAAACAATTGGGCTCTTGTTTCTTTTTTGTCCACAACTAATTTTAAAAACTCATGACTGAAAATTTTTTGCCCACTGTGGATGCAGTCAGTTGGTGTGATATCCTTGTTGTACTGTGGCACATAAATCTGCAGCAGTAACTGTCAACCATCAATAATAACTCTAACCCATGGAGGGGGGGAGGAAGTGTGAGACAGCCCCAAGAAGCAAACGTAATTGATTGGTGTGCAAAACTCACTGGCAGGCCAAAAAGGATCAAAAGCCAAAAATTATCCATGAAGTCATACTATAGCAAGAGTGACTCAAAGAAGATCTCACCTATTAACCTATTTTTTGGTGTGTGCTAGCTGTTTTGATTATCCTGGCTGGATGGAAAACTGGGACATCAGACAAAGAGCAAAAAGAAGTAAGAGAAAAAGAGGGGGAAAAGGCTATTAATCACAAGAAAATTATTAAATACTTTTAAGTGAATACTAAATAGGTGAATATCTGAGATTCTCTCCCTGAAGAAAGGGGAATTAATGGTGGAGTCTGAGCACACTTCCCAATTGTCCTTTTCATTTTGTGAAGCTGGACAATATTCATATATTGTAGCCTACAAAGGCCACAGTAGTGTCCCACATCCTTCTCTAATTCATGTGATTGATTCTGTTCTTGAGCTATAAGTGGAGCACTTGGGAAGGTCCTGGACATCTCTAGTATGCAAATTAGAAATGGATTTAGGAGTAGACATTGGAGGTGACCATGACTATGTTCGAACAACACACTGAACCACAACCTACCAACTGTATTTTAACATAGCTTGTTATGAAAACTGAGTTGTGTTGCTAGTTTTTGCCTCTGAATATAGCATGAATCCAGAATGCTGGGTTATGGAGACATCTGCATGTGTGGGAACAAATGACAAAACAAGGGTTGTATTGTTATGATGTAAGCTGTACCACTTTTGTAGTGCATTATGTCACACACATATACATATGGGCAGGGCTCGTGGTGCAATGTTTGCAATGCTCATTTCATCATTTTGAGGAAGCCTTTGGATTCGGTGGACACCTCTGCTGAGTTGATTGAGTCAACTAAGTAAATAAATAAATCATGCCTTAGTTAACCATGGAAAAGCATCTTGTGTTTGGAAAGTACAGGGAACGCTAAGCTAAGCCAAGTATTTTCTGTCTTGCCACGGCATAACACGTTCCATGTAGATATTGAGACATGGTGGGGAGGCTGCCGATGACATGGCCCTGGCCCTGGCCCTGGCCCTGGCCCCACATTATTCTGTTTGGTTTGCCAAGTCCAGTGTTTCTCAACCTTGTTGATTTTAAGGTATGTGGACTTCAACTCATTCTGTTTGGTTTGCCAAGTCCAGTGTTTCTCAACCTTGTTGATTTTAAGGTATGTGGACTTCAACTCATTCTGTTTGGTTTGCCAAGTCCAGTGTTTCTCAACCTTGTTGATTTTAAGGTATGTGGACTTCACCTCCCAGAATTCCCCAGCCAGCATGGGGGAGTTGAAGTCCCCACACCTTAAAGTCGACAAGGTTGAGAAACATTGGCCAGGTCTGACCTGGGACCTCCTCCCCATCCAATAGCTCTTATTAATAAATAAATAAATAAATAAATAAATAAATAAATGCATCCCAACAGGTTTTAATTGGGCATGCCCTGTGCTCTGCTTGGCAGGCTCTTCAAGGGGTGGGAATGAAGGGTGGGTTGAGTAAGGGAAAGCCCTCAACTGCTGTTGATGCATTCCTGTGAATTGGATCTCTATGGACATCAGTCCTTGACAGCCCAGCATGGCTGTGCATTAAGGAAGTTGTATGAAGGCAGGTCTCTGTGTGCCACCAGGTTTTCCTCCCCACCCTGGGACAGCATGGAAGCTGCTGTGGGGTGAGGCCAAACCATTTGCTCAGTCTTCCAGACTAATGATTCATCTCTGTTTATGAAACTGGAGATACTCTTGATCTGCGTGAACAGAACTGCATAAACATTTGTGGGGTGCTTTGTTTGGTTTGCATGGGAAGTTGCATGAGCTTCCATGAGAAGATGCAAAGAGTGAAGCAGCTGCCGTGACTGGTTATTTCTTTAAAATATACACACGTACATATTTCTTTTACAGCTGAAGCCACAAGGGAAGGGCAGGGAAGGGCAAGGGAAGGCAAGGCTGCACTCAGGGTCATCTCTGAATGAATACACAGCCTGGGGAATGTCGCCATCCCTTCTGGCTTGCCTCTGAGTTCCTGGCTGATCAGCCCCCCACCCACCACCTCTGCGGTTTCGAAAGAAGGAAGCCGTTCCCAGCTCGATTAAGAGTTCAGACTTGGAGACCATCGCCGGTTTTTGCTGTGCTGGTTAGACGTAACGATGAGGAACAGAAGGGAGGGAAGAAGGAGGGGACATCTTCCAGCTCGCCTCAGCTCAGTGTCGAAACTGTGGGGAAAAGGAAGGCGCGCGCACCGACAGGCCGAGCGCGCGCGCGCAAAGCCCTAAGCCGGAGGAGCAGGGAGTCGAAGCCGGAGCCGTCAGGTAAGGAAGGGCTGGGCGAAAGCTGGCCAGGCTCTCCTCCCCGGGGTTTCTCCACACCCCGCGCGCACACACAGAGCTTCTGGAGCTTGGCGTTTCAGTCGTCCTCCCCTTTTAGACGCCGTTTCTGGTTTGGGAGAAGTAGTTTGCCTTTGCAAGAAAGAAAGCGCTGAGGCTGCGGAGAATCTGGACGTGCTGCGCTTTGGGACGGGTGGGGTTGATTCCATCGATCGTTTTAGACTGGCGCATTGGCAGCCCTTCGTCCCAGGAGTGCTGGGCAGAGCTGATGGGGCCTGATCCCGTTAACCCCTCACCAGTTAGCTTTAGAGATCGGCTGGGCAGAAAAAACAAGGATGGGGATACTGTAGCTGAGAGGAGGGGCTGGTTTCAATGATTTTTAGCTGGCAAGAAGGCCAGATTTTTTTCTTTTTCGAGAAGTCAGATCTCTTGGCCCAGGGCTGAATCTTCCTCCAGCCAAATTGATTTCTCCATCTTCTGCGCTAGAGAAAAGCAGCTGTCAATTTATCCAAAGCGTGCAAAAGGCATTGGCACCCGGTGCTCTGCTGCTGCCAAAGGAGAAGTTTGCAAAGAAGCGATGAGGTGGCTTCCTCAAATGTAATGTGCAAATAAGTTGAGATCTGTAGCAATATATAGAAGAGCTTCTCTGGTTTAT